GTCACAGCAACCTCCTGACTATGCACACTGGTGTCACAGCAACCTCCTGACTATGCACACTGGTGTCACAGCACTGCGTTCCTCTTCTGGAGCCCGTGGCTCCTGCTAGACTCTGGAATGAAAGGCTAGTTTCATAAGGATGGAGAGAATCTTCCATTGGTATCCAGAGCTGTCTTCAGTGTAGCACATTAAATGCCATGATAGGTATTTCTCGAGTCTAAATGTCTGCTACAGTAAAGCTTTCTTGGACTTTGCTTTACTAAATAGTTGATCCACTGGCTTTCAAGGTCTATGGATTAAGATTAAGTGTGTTTAGGAAATATGTGTACCACAGTATTGATATCACTAGATAAACTAAAATCTCAATGACTGTAACAATTCTGCCAGCATTTTGAATGTAAACATTTTGCTTCCTGAAATCTGCTAAAACAAGCAGGTGTAAACTAACAGGGATCCAAACTTATCGTGATGACTCATAATATCCCTTATACATCATGTCTGATGAAGCCAAAGATAATTAACTGTACTGTCTCATCTAGTGACAGAGTACTTTCCCCTTACAGTCACCCAGACATCCACCTGCAGAAGTTTATGCTGCTTTGAAAATGAAAGTCATTTGCACATCTGTCAAACTCAAGTGGTTGCAAATGAATTGCCTCACTAACTGTTCTGAAGTGCAGATTATACACCAATACATGATAGTTCAGAAAGAGATAAAGCCTCAAATGTACAGGGGTTCAAGAAGTGCTTAATCATAAACATGTCAATACCTTTATCATGACCCATCACTGTATCTGAAATATTAGAAAGGACGCATCCTTCTGGTTGAGGGGTGCCATTACAGTGTACTAGACTAAGTAGCTGGTTAAATGTTATTATCAGTCAAAACTATGATGTTTTTTATAGAAGTATTCTTTGAAAGATTACTTGTATATATATAGTGAAACTAATCTGAATTAGAGATATTTTATGAAAGCAGAAATAAATGGGAGTAAAAATGAAAAAAAATGAGATGTGATCCTTGAGTTAGGTTTCATTGATGTGTCAGTTCTTGATCCAAGCTCTTAATTGGTATTTGTCTTATGAGAACTCGAATGAAAGCCTACCTCACAGGGCTGTTGTGAGGATTCGGGTGGGAGAACCAAGGTGATGATTCTTGACTGACAGATCTCAGAGTAGGCTATATTCCCTTGTAACATGATTAGTGATAAGCATCTGTGGATGTGATAAACAAAAACCTTTCATTTATATGAAATAGTTTAGCTGCCATGTAGTTGACAAATCCATCACTTATTATTATTCCTCAGTGATTAAATGAATTCATTTACTTACCTTTAAAAGTGAGGCCTCAAAGTTGAAACACCTTTTACAACCTGCTACAAATCGTCCATCCTCAAAATTTCAAGTGCATATTATTTTTTTTATCCCAGTCCATCTCTCAAAATTTTTGAGGAATAAATTCATTCTTCTTATCTAAGAAACTGAGATTGGAAGTTATTTTTTATACTATAATTTTGATGTTTTAGACTCAAACATAGCAAAATATTTTATTTCCACTCTTATCAAATTTAAATGACTAATGTTTCCATTCTAGAGTATGTTTATAGTTACAGATAGTATTTTGTATAATATGAAAAAATATCAAACTCATGCCCATTGGACTGATTCTCATTCCTAGAGACCCTGTGAGAGATTAGAAATGCCCGGGTAGGTTTCTGGAGCTGTAAATCTTTATAGGAACAGAAAGCTTCCTTTTTGCCCCCTAAGCATCTTAAGGATTTGAACTGCTGACCTTGAGGTTTAGCAATTTAACTAATAACCCAGGTTAGCAATTTAACTCATAACCCACTATGCCACCAGGGTTCCCTTTGTAAACACACACACACACACACACACACACATTATGCTACATAAGATGCTGTACTGTAATAACGAGTATAAGCCGAGTTTTATCAGCAGCTTTTTAAAGCCATTTTTATAGTAAAATTGGTGCCTCGGCTGATTCGGGTCGGCTTATACTTGAGTGTATATTATATATAGTTAGATTCATCTAAACTATATATGGCATATAATTAGCATATACACTTTACATGGCACAATACTAATCACCATTCTCTGCCATAGTATCAATTCTGCCTGCCCTGTAGGACAGAGCAGACCTACCTCTATGGTTTTCCAAGACTGTAAATCATGAGGGAGTAGAAAACCCTGTTTTTCTCCCATGAAGCACCTAATGGTTTCAAACTATAGACCTTGTGGATCTCAGCCCAATGTGTGTCCATTATACCACCAGTGTTCCTTATATCACACATACCAGATATAAAGTAGTTAGTATTTTTTATTCTACCTGATATAAAGTATTTCATGTTTTTTATTCTGGCAAAAAAAAATTACATGAGCAACCAGATAGTGTAAGAGCTTACTTAGATTTTAGAACCAAGTTATTCTTCACTGTTTATTATATAAATAACCTCGGGCAAATTATTCCACTCTTCTGAGCCTCCGTGACCTCATTTATACAATTAAAGTCTTTGTGCCTTGTTCAGGGTGTTGATATGACTCACAAATTGAAATGTGCCAACGACATAACAAGCTTAATTCATCCATGCAACAAATATTTATTGAGTGCCTGCCATGTGTCAAGCACCGTTCCAAGTGCTAGGGGTGTACACACTGAGATACCTCTTTCCTTCGTGGAACACACAGTAGGATAATTGCAAAGATATGTGAAGATTGTTATTGTCGAGAGAGAACATGGTGTAATAAGAAGACTTGCCAGGGAAACCGAACCTTGCACAATTTTAGTGAGATCCATCTGATAATGCTTGCCTGATGAGGCATCCTTTAATATGAGACAGAATGGATAGAAGTTCACCAGACATGAGAGCTAAAAAAATGGTTTGGGCCAAAGAAAATACAAAGTGGAAGCCTGTAGACTAGAGCTATAACCTGCAAATGTTTAACTTGGCCCACTCATGTTTCCAAAAATGACATAGTCGTGGGGAGGAGTGGCGATCAAGGAATTAAATAAAAACATTCAGATACATAGCATCTCAAAATATTTTAAAAGGTGCTCAAAACAACGGTAAGTTGCCAACAGTCACTTCGGCTATCTGCGTCCTGCGGTGTTTGCCTTTGTTGCCATTGGCAACATCAGTCATTTGCATTACCTGTGTGAAATCTCCAAGTAGGTAAATGATTTGTAACCCTAGCCAAAAAACTAGAGATACTCAAGTACTGTCAATGACTAGAGCATGTAATCGTCATAAATGATGGTGGCGGTGGTAGGGACTGCGATGCGGTAGTGGTCGTGGTCGTGGTCATGGTAGTGATGGTGGTGGTAGTAGTTTTTGTTATATGTTTGTCCTTGTTTCCTCTTTATTGTTATGATCATTGATAGGCTTCTAATGTGATCACTAATGTGATCGTTATTATTATTTCTTGGGGGAAAAACTGTCCACCCCAAATTTTAGCTTTGACTGTCATTATAGCTATTAGGTCTCTTATGTAACTATATGGAGTTAATTGATGTGCAGCACCTAACATTAAGTACCATAATTTTCAGAAGGATATAATCTTAACACATGAGCAACTTTCAAATCACTGAATTTAATTTTAATAGAAAAAAATATAGACATAGCTCTAGTAATTGAGTCATAAAATATTATTCATTGTACATTTACTCTCTCATATATACTTACAGGGTTCAAAATAAAATGCCCTAGTTTATAGTCAGAGAGCCAGTGTTCTAGAAACAAATGAAGAGTATGTATTTAAGGCATCATAAGCTGTTAACATAAACTTTGAAACATAATCTGCTTACTACCGGCTTTTTGAGTACCATTATTTATATCAAATACAAATTGCCTTGCCAAAAACATTTTTTCTTATGTAGCTTTAATGAATTTTTCCCATTGCATATTTAATGTGAAACGTTCACAAAGAACTAGAATATGTCTTATATCCTTGATACATAAAATAAATGTCAGTATGAAGTAACTCACAAGTAGCTCTGCTACTTTCCAAAGCTCAGGAGTCATTTGCTTCATTTGTAAGGCATTTCTGTAGTGAATAATTTGCCATGCAGCTCGAAAACATATCTTTAGGATTATCCCATGTCTGTAATACAAGGTGAAGATACGTTGCTTAGTAACTTTGCAGAGCACATTTTAAACTTTTCCAAAGTGTTTTTTATATATAGTGTCTGAGGGTGTTTCAAAAGTTCATGGACAATATCTTTTATCTTTCCATTTTCCAAAAAACTTTTTGAAGCTCCTCTGTGTAATGTAGTATTGTGTAAACCTATATATTTGTCTTACATCTAGTTGTGGTTGATTCTGAAAGTCTTCATATAAGTTTTCTGTTAACGTTATAAGTGCAAAGTACTCAGTAATCACACACATAATAAAGGATAGAACCTTTGTCTACCTTGATTGCATGGTTAGAGTAAAACAAACATAAAACCTAGACATATTATTCTCAAGAGAGGTTTCTTAAACTTGACCAAAATAGTTACCCAAGAGGGAAATTTACTTTGAGCTTAAAGTTTTCTTAACTTATTTTTCAAGGGAAGTATTTATTAATGGCTTTAATGAAATATTGTTAATTTTTCTGATGTATTCCTTTTTCAGCAAAATGAAATACAGAAAATTATGAGGGGTTTGGGTTGACAGTTTGAATGTTGGAAGTAGCTATAAAGCAAATGAAATGTCAACATTAATCCTTGAAATTATGACTAGTTCTTAGTGTTTCTAGAGCACATTTGTTTCAACCACATCCTTGCCCTTGGGTTATTCTAAACTATGTACTGCTGAAATCAACTCTCTTTTTAGCCTGATGCTGAGATTTCCATTTTGCTTCTTGACTTGACAGCAAGCTTGCTAAAAAACGCAAGGATGCTATGGGGAGCACCCGGCAGGAGATGACCCACATGGTGAACGCCATGGACCGGAGCTATGCTGATCAGAGCACTCTGCATGCGGAAGATCCCCTTTCCATCACCTTCATGGACCAACACAACTTCAGTCCGAGATGTAAGTTCCACACTAAACTTTTAATGAGCAGCTTCTCAGGTTCATTATGTCGTCTTTGAATTTTACACTTTACCTTTGTAATTATGGAAAAGATATAGAAGGGAGAGAAAAATAAGACTGAACAAAGAAAAAGAGGAATTGAATATCGTGAAATTTACCAAAGACATTCTCAGTTTTTATTTCATTTGACTTCAAACCATATTGATTGTCTTAGTTTACCATGCGAGGTGTTTCACACATCTGCCACTCACATCAAATCATGCCGGTCTTTTAAGTTAAAATTTCTAATTGCCTACATGAAGTTACTTCGTGTTGTAATTTATTTATAATTTTATCACCCGCATGTTCCTTTGTAAAAGATAAAGTTTCTTTTGCCGCAAAAGGAAACTGATTGTTTTTAGAAACTATTGCCATGATACACTTAGTCCATTAAAATATTCTGCCGAGACCTTCAAATTCTCAATAATAGAAAGGCGGAAAAATCATCTCCATGCTCTTGTTTGGTGTGCATAAGGGAGTGCTGCGGAAGTGGAGGGCTGCTAAGGACCGGTCAAATCCATCCGAGAATCCATGCATCCATATTAAGAATTTCTACTACTAATCTATGGATGCTAGGCTTTTAATATATCTCCACTGAGATTCTGTCTCATGGCAAATGAGTTGAATAATTGTCCCACAGTGAATAGTACTGTCTCACCCGCAAATCCCTCCGAGTTTCTGTTTTGTTGTATAGTACCTGTGTTAAATTACTTATAAGTAATCAAATAACCGGACTTTGTTTCCTCAAGTAGAACTGATGCTTGAGGAGGACAAATCATGTTTGTCCGATGGCCTTGTGAGCCCAAGGACATTCTGCCAGTGCGCTCAGAACGATGCTAACTTCAGTTTGCAAGACGTTAGGTGACCAGACGTCCCGCTTTTTGTGGGACAGTCCCGATTTTTAACAGTTTTTCCCGTGTCCCGCAGCATTTAAAAAAAAATCCAGATTTCTGGAAAGAATTCATGAAAGCTAGGGTATACGGTTTTCGGCTGCCTGTGGCTTTTTTGCCAGGATATGAGTTTTATCAATGGTGTCCCACTTTACCAATGTTAAAATCTGGTCACCTTAGAAAGAAACAAACAATAGACATATTCTGTTTTCTATAGTTTACATATATATTTTGTGTGAGAACATTGAGAATTAAAAATTAAAATGTAATTATGTAGGGTGTGTGTGACTGTACCTGTTGATAAAGGGAAATTTTTTCTGAAATGTTCTGTTTGGTGAAACATTGTAATTATTGGCCTGAATGCAAACCATCACTTCCCAGGGTGCCTGTCTATTCCAAATGCATAGTCGGAACTGTTGACTGGGTCATTTCACAATTTAATTTTAATCATGATCAGGCTTTTCTGATCCATTTTATTTTTACACCACTACAAGAGCAATGCTAGAGAATAACACAAAATACTATTATTGCTATAACTAAGGTTTGTCAAAATATCAAAGAACTACCTTTCTTAACCATATACTTTGAAATCAGATCAATTAAGAGATTGAAAGCATTTGGCTTCCTCAAACATCACTATCTATTGCCAGTCTTTGTTGGGAAGTTTGAATGTAGTAGTGTGATTATAAATATCCATTTATGAACTTGAAGAAAGGATTCACCTTATTTCCCACAGTGAAGTTAAAAAAACTATTTGGAATGAGCATGAGATAAAATATCTTTTTTCCCCTTCTAATTTTTTAATCTTTTACAATGCAATCTTGACTCTTCTAACTTGTTGGATTGAGAAGTTTACTGAAATATTACTACAGATGCACCTGTTCTTATGTTTTAAGATAAACTAAGCCACAAGGGAGAATTTTCAATTTTCAATTTACAGTAATCAAAGACAGTTTAATGGTTATAGCTTAAGAAAGCATGAATCTATTGAAAGAGCTTAAAAGCCTACTTAGGGCAGTATGTTTCTTCATGAGCTCTGTTTTCCTGCAGTGCCCAATGATCCACTTGTGCCGACTGCTGTGTTAGGTGAGGCCTTAATTCTTTATCATGTATTCTTGCATGGATCACACCTCCTTGCATGGGGTTATAGCTTGTTCACATAGTAATTGTTCACAGCATAGGCTGCAGCTTGATTTTGAAAATAGACAGTCTTATCTTTATCAAGGAAAACAACTGAGATCCCTAACTCTCCTCACTAAGGACATGCCACATTAGAAAATGTTTGCTGTTACTTTCATGTGAGTGCCGATAGACGTGGATCAAAAGTATAATGCTCCTTGATGTGAGACTGATGTGTACATCTCCAGATGCATTAAATGTGTTAAGTGTCTGGGCACGATGCTGCCTGAGTAATTAACTCACCTTTCCAAAAAAAGGAGTAACCTCCCTGAGCAGGGTTTTCTAAATCCTCTTAATTTTTCACCATTAAAGAACATATTTGCTAGTAATAATTAGGAATGTATGCATTTGTTTTAGCTTCTCATTAAATGTGATCGCTATATTACAATCTTATAAGTGTAGGTAAAGTTTCTAGAACTCTGAAATTGGTCTTTACATAATTTATGAACCTCCTGTCAGAACCTTTTTGGTGCTGGGAAATAAGCTATAAGTTGTAACCACAAGATCAGCAGTTCTGACCCACCAGCCTCTCTGCAGGAACAAGATGAGGCTGTCGGCTTCTGTAAAGATTTACTAGCATCTCAGAAACCATATCTAGGGTCACTGTGAGTCAGAATCCGGTCAATGATGGTGGGTTTCACTAATAAGGAGTGTTCCTTTTAAGAAATTAAAACAGGCTGAATGACAATTAATTTTGCTAGTGATGACTAATCGAATTGCTTATCAAACTATATATTTATGAAGGAGTAGGTTAAATTTTTATTTGTACCCATTTCTTGATTGATGATGCATCATTGATCCATGAGTAGTTAGCTTAAATATGTAAATCTGGGCTTTACCACAGAGTCTCTAATGCTCAAGATTCAATCCAAGAACTGAAAATTCCAGTTACAACCATTTCAAAGTTTCCCAATTCTCACATTTGTTATATACACTGAATATTGCTTGTGAACATAGAAAACTTCAGTTTACATTTAACCATCTATTTTTATTATCCCTATATTCATTTACTATAAAAACATGTTTTCAAATATTACAAGTAATTCAACTATGTAAGAATTCATCTATGTAGGAATAGCACATCTCTCTTCCCTAAAATAATTATGCGACATTTAAATTGTAAAATTGATGTAAAAGTTACCTACTACGAAAGAAGGGAGGTTCCGAGTTGGGCTTTTCGCCCCAAGGTCAGCAGTTGAGACCGCCAGCTTTTCTGAGGTGAAAGAAAGGCTTTCTCCTCTCATAAAAATCTGCAGTCACAGAAACCTAAAGGGCAGTTCTACTTTGTCCTGTAGGGTTGTTAGGAGTTGGCACTAACTCTGTGACTATGGCTTAGGTTTCTGGCATGACAAAAGAAAGGAGCACTAGTGGTGCTGTCCGGTAAGCATTGGACTGTTCACTTCAGGGTTGATAGTTCAAACCCACCAGCCGCTTCTCCAGAGAAAGATGCGGTTGGCCATTCCAGTAAAATTTTATTGTCTCAGGCACCGTAGGTAGGGTCACTATGAGTTGGACTTGACTCTGTAGCAATGGGTTTTTATCATGATATTTTTAAAACATCTGAAAACCAATATTTTCTCTCTTTGATGTCTACATCAATAATGGCAGGAAATTAAATTGGACAGCTTGTTTCAAGGGGTGGTCTGATCATGAAGGGTGAAACCAGGAACCTTGAATATTGGGAAGGCATTAAATGCCTCTGAAAATGCTGTCTTCTGTTGAACAATGTAGAATTCTGTCAGTCTCAGATTACTTACTGGGGAATAAATCTTAATTTGAATATTAAATTCATCGGGAAACAAAGTGCCTGTCAATATAAATTCCTCTCTACGGTAATGGTCTCTAGAAAAGAACATGTAGCATTGGTTCCAATTGAAGTCCCTTTCTGGACTCACATAGGAACTCAAAAATACCAGGTATCGTTGTTTCCTCATCTAGAAAACAGACGGTATTGATCTCAAGCAGACTTTTTTCACAAGGCTTTGTTTGTAAAGAGGAAGTGAGAGGATCTATATCATAGAATCTTAAAAATGATAGAATTTAAAAGGTTATTATATTTTTGCTTGCAAATAGAAACAAATAAGGAAGGCTAACCTTAATTCAATGGAGACATCAATTCTATCTGCTATAAAATCATTACTTCTATTTCATTTTGAAAGTCAAGCTGGTTGAGTTTTATTTGAATCTTCTCATTCCCTAAAGGCTAAATATCTCATTAATCATATTAGATATAGAAATGATTTGTTCCATTTCCATCTCTCTCAGAATTATGGTGTTTACCATTGTTTTGCATTCAATTGATTGTGTATTTATGAAGCATTTTTTTGAATTCACTTTAAATATCGCTAGATGTTAATGTCTACTTAGTAAATTTAAAAGGCTTTAGATATTTTTCGTATTGATTCATGTTTTTGTTTTTGTTTTTGTATTTCACTGCTTCATTGGGTTAAAGTCCCTATAACTGGTAAGTGTATTGTAAAGAACTCTAGAGAATTTTCAAGCTAGGAAATATTTGAAGTTATTCTTAGATGTGTAATAAGTATATGAGCAATATTATGTACCCACCTACTAGTCACATTATTAGGTGGTTTAATGAGTTGAAATATTTGGGGATTAATAATTAGTATGTAATTATTTTAACCATCTTGCTACACATTGTATTGCTTTATTAAAGCTAAGCATAACCTAAGGTTATCTATTTCATACTGGGATGCCATAATGGGCAAGGCTTGGGATAGGGGCAATTTCTATGTTTCTCACTGAGCCCTTTACAATTGTAAATACTCTACTGCTCCACAAACCCACTGAGTGGGGGGTGGGGGTGGGGGGTCATCTTGAGAGCTCTGTCCACTGTCTTCCAGTTTGGGTGTCTTATTGTGTCTCCCTGACATTCTCTTCACCTCTCACCCTGAGCTGTATGTTGTAACAATACCCAAGAAAAAGGCTTTGGATTTAAATTCACCAGGGAGATGGATATATATTATGTATGTCAGATTATTGATTTTAATAGGATTGCAAGGGTCGATCAACTGGGAGTAGTCTCACAGAAAATAGAGATGCTCTCATGACTCATGTTTTGCTAGCAAGTTTTCATGCACAAAGTGGTGGGCAGAACCAGAGCGAAGTGTTTAAATGCAGTCGGTGGGTAGGGCACCGTAGAACCCACAGAGAATTGTTTTATTTTCTGTAATAATTTGGGGAGTGAATGCAAAAAATGCATTCATTCTAAGATGAGATGTAAAGATAAATGCAATCAAGCTTAAATTTTAGAGGCACGCAAATCTGATTGTGGGGTTCTTTTTTTTCTTCTCCCTTCTCCAGGAAGAAAAAATGTTTATCATGGGGACAACAATTCATTTTTTGCCATATCCTATTTGTAGAGTTGGTGATAGAACAGGCAAATGTACAGCACTTGACATATGTTTCACTGTTAATTAAATATCATTTTCTACAGTATGCATTATCATTAAGAGTGTACTTTCTCTTCTGTTAATGAGTATAGCAATGTTTTTTTGAAAAAACACCCCTTAAACATTTGATTTTATTTTGTTGTTTTTTTTTTCCTTTAAAGTGGTAAGTTTTAATGTGAAAAATATAAGCATGTTTCTCATTTGTAATGATTAGTACTCTGGACATTAAAACAATGCTTATTCTTCATAGGTAATATGTTCTTGTTCTTTTCTTCCATCTGTGGCAGAAAGAAACTAAAACATTTCTTTTCATTTTAAGCTAATAGCACAATTGGGATGGGTCTACACTTAAATATGGGTGATGTGGGAGTCAATTAGTTTTAATTTATTGAAATATTTATCAAGTGACTGGTATGCAGGACTAGGCAGGGGAGGCAAGCATGACTCAGTCTACACTCTCTCTTCACGGTTTAGAGTCATGACGGAAACAAATGATAGAAACAAAGGGTCAGAGAGAAAGGCCATTGATGAGAACAGGACGCTGTGAGAACCTGCAGCAGAAGCTCGGGTGCACGGGGAAGATTTCCTCAAGAGGAAGCATTCACACGGTTTGCCTCGAATGTTCCCTTCGTCTCTCTCTAGCTCAGCAAGTGAAAGAGTTAAAAATACACTAGCAATAAAGACAACAGCAACAATGATAATTAACCAAGGGAGTGGAGATTGAGTAGAAATATACACGCAACCCGGTCAATGGACACACTTGGGCCCAAGGTGATCCTGCAGAATGCCCATATTTGCCAGGGTGAAAGCGATCGTGGGCAGGAGCGTTCTGTGGTAGGATCGAGTTAACCCACAGGAGCAAGAAGAGCAGCCTTGTGGACATGGGCTGCCTAGCTCAAGACTCCTGAGGCGATTCAGGAGTGAGTGGGAAGAAGCTTGTTCAATGTAATCAGCGGAAACACCTCCCCGTTTGACAACCTGCCACCCTGGTGCCACTCTACCCTGTTCTGACTACAGGTGCGAGAAGTAGGAACTCAGACACACCTCCCACTCAGACCTGCTTAAAATCTACTTATCACACTCACTACCTATCACACGAGAATAGCATATGCTGCCTTGTTGATAAACAGGTGACATACAGGAGGTCTTCCAAAGAGTTCATGGAAAAATGGAATTAAAAATTAATAAGCTATTTCCACAAATGGTTCCAAGCTCATTTGTACTCTTAACTTCAAACCTAGAGCTAAGATAAAAGGCTGGAGCTTTGTCTCTGTGGAGATACTGCCCTGGGCCTATCCTGTGTGGAGTTTCATTCTCTTCCTTCCCGTTATCAGAAACATCTGTGGGCATGTTTGCATGGCTACATATTAAACACGATAACTCTATTTTCTTTTTAATCTTCTCAAATATGAAAAATGACAGATGAGAACCACAGTGCAACAGCAGAGTCCAGCCGGCTGCTAGATGTGCCTCGATACCTGTGCGAGGGGACAGAATCCCCTTATCAGACAGGACAGCTGCACCCAGCCATCAGGGTTGCCGACTTGCTGCAGCACATTAATCTCATGAAGACATCAGACAGCTATGGGTTCAAAGAAGAGTACGAGGTGAACCTTTCTGTACCTTATAAGACTTTATTTGTAACTAGGCTACTCAGTGGAATTTGCCATTTTTATTAGCCCTTTAACATAACAGGGAATGAAATGCTGTGTAGGTTCTTTAATCTTGTGTCTATAAATATACAATCCAGTGTGTTTTCAGGTCATTGGAGAGGGAAGAAGAAATTAAAGAGACCTTTTTAAAATTTTATCTGGGTATACTATAAATGTATTATATGATTTTAAAGGCATTTTATTTCACAGTTTTCCCCCTACGATCTAAAATACACTTATAACTTTCTATCCACCAACACTACCACTCCCACTCCTTAAAAATCCATAGCAAGGTAACCTTAAATCCCACTGAACCATCAGAGGTTCTGTGCTTTGAATGAGGTAGGCAGTAAGCACGACCCTGCTTCTCTGCATGGTGACCTTTGATTGGGAAATCGGAGCAATCGTTGTATAAGTACTGCCAGTTCCGTTGTGTGGCTTGTCGGTTGAGGGTGCAGAGTACTGCAAGCCCAGGAAACAGCACTAAGAAGCTAAATGGAGGATGGGGGAAATTCTCCTTCCAACCATGGTTTACCTTCCTCTTCACGCCAAAAATCAAGGTTGAAATTGCAAAGGAAATTATTTAATCAGGCGCCCTACTAGACATAAACTAGCAGCAAATAAAGATTTCTTTGCCACCCTTTACCTGCTAAGAAATATAATTCTAGGAGCTTAGAGGAAGTCACCCTAACCTTCACCTCACCCTCAGAACTCTCAAGACACACACACACACACACACACACACACATTTAAAATGAAAGTATCCAAGCCGACCTTCTAAAATCGCACACCAATACTTACCTGGCAGGGGAGATACCATGATCACGAAGGTGGTTTTCCCAGGGCGAGGCTTATCCATTGCACTCCGGATGTGCTGACCCCTGCGATTTCCCCAAATGTGGGAAACTCGACTGCATAATTTGTGGTAGTGGGGGACTGCGTTCGCGCTCTCCCCTGACAACTGGGTTTTTTAAAAAAAAAAAAAAAAAAAAAAAAATCGCACACCAGTTGTCAGATTATTTATGTATCTTAATTTGGTAATGACTATAATTTTCTTTGAATTTTAAAAGTTGCTTTTAGATATATATTGGAAGCACCGTGGTGTGGTAACAAAATAAGTGCAATGAATTAGAGTACTCTGCCAGAGTGAGTTTTTTGGTTCGTTTTACGTGTATTTCTGTGTACCTCATGTCAAGGATCTTTGGCTCTTTGAAGACCCCATTTCCTGTGTTGAGCAAAGCTTAAGTTTTTTTCTGCAAGAAGACATCTCTGCCCACATTTTTTAATTGCTGTAAATGGAAATTAAACCAATCAAGAGCTTCATCTGTTCCAACAGTTCATAGAAATGATGAATCTTTTTTTTTTTCATTTTCATATGGTCTCTTGGAACTTGGTCTTTTTCATGATTTTCAGAGTACCTAAAATATGATGTATTACACACAATTTAATTATTAATTAGTGGGAAAGGAGATTTTATTTTTCCTGTTATAGATGCTATAAAATAAGCACATTTGAAAGATACTCATTAAGAGGAGTTTTGCAGTGTTTCATCTATTCATTTTTTAAGAATCAGAAATGAACTTTTTTACTTTCAGAAGTGAACTGTGCTTTTTCTCTATCTTCTTCATTTAAAGTTATAGAGATCTGAAATTTGAAATACTTCTAAAGCCTTTTGTTTCCTCTCAGAAGTTATTTCCTGTCCTTAATTTGAGCTAAGAACAATAGCAAGATGAACAAGCATGAATCCCATAAACTACCTGTTTGAAGTCTGAGAATGGAGCTTGTTCATTCAGTAGGATTTCTTTCTTCCTTGTGAAAGTGACTTCTGTTATTTTTTGTCTTCAGAACAGATAAACCTAGTTCAAGAAGAGCAAACCAGACGAGTGAGAGTTAGCCTTCTTGTTAATTATCTGTTGTTTTTGTTTCTCCAGAGTTTCTTTGAAGGACAGTCAGCATCTTGGGATGTAGCTAAGAAAGACCAAAACAGAGCAAAAAACCGATATGGAAACATTATAGCTTGTAAGTGCTCATGAATTCCTATGGAAAATAAATATTGTGTGGGCAGAGATAGTGAGTTGCAACTCCTCTTTAGGTAGTTTCATTCATACTTTTAAGAGTGTTCCAGAAAGTTGCAATCCACTTATAAAGCTATCTATTTATATTAAACAGCATTGGATACTAACTGCGCCTCTCAAATTGTCATCCTCCTCATTAATTGAATTGACTCTCACTTCTCACCCTGTGGAGATAGCATGCAGTTTGATTTCTTGTTTGCATATAAATGCATTGGCCAGTTTTAAAACAGATGAGCAAATTAGGATAAATAAGAAGGAAGATCTTGTCTAAGATATAAATTACTGTACTACTCCCACCAAACACATTTAAGGTAGAGGTATTCCAGCCACAGAATTTTATACACCACAGGATACTGCGTCTGAATTCACTTGCTCCATGTGGCTTCCCATTGGAGACTTCAAAGTGTGAACTGAGTATTAAAAAAGGGATTATCATCTGATACAATAGGAAACGTAAGACAATGATGGTTTAACTGGTCACTAGCCGCTCATGGACTTAAACACTTCACAATTCAACTTATTTTAAGATAACTTTTCAGTGGAATGCGTAGGGCAATATCCATATTGTGGATGGATATTGTGGATGGGCTATTATTTTCCGTCTCTCCCACTCTACATTTGCCATTGTCTCAGAGCCGAGTAGAAATTGGCTAGCTGATATTTTGTTATTTAAAACATTTAGATGATCACTCCAGGGTAATCCTGCAGCCTGTTGAGGATGATCCTTCTTCAGATTACATTAATGCCAACTATATAGATGTAAGTATGATTACAGTTCACTTTCCCAATTTGCCGATTGATCTCTGTGAATCTTTTTTTGCATGTGATTATCTATAAAGTAATTGCTAGCTTTTAAAAGTAAAGAACAAATTGTACACTTTTCCTTGTTCTGCGTCCTAGTACTCACTGATGTTGTTGTGCTTTCTTTCACACCTGACTTTGTTTGGGCTGTAGATTTGGCTGTACAGGGATGTAAGTACCATTATATGTAAATAACAGCACCCTATTACAAACATTTACTAGAACTACTCTTAATTGCAGTTATTACTAATGCTTACTACAATTTACCTCTGCATGCTTCACCTAATTAGCCTCATTTCGTATATCTATTTTCATTTTGTGTAAATCTTTTACATATGTAAAGATCTGTCTCTTACCTCGTTTCGTTTCCTATGTTTTCAAAAAGCAGGATACTTTAGCGTTTGACAATTTATTATGTATTTCAGTTTTATTTGTTGATGATTTCTGTTGCTGGTTTCGTTCTTACCCCTCTCCCCAACTCCAAACAATATGTGAGAAGCTGGATAGTATGATGTGTATTAGTGTTTCTGAAATTTTATACCTTTTATATTTGACATATATTAAAAATGGGTAGGGAGAATATTTTGTGGTATGTATTGGCTTGTAAAGTAAAAAAAAATATTTAGACAAAATAATTGATAAATTGCATTTGTAAAGTACTCATCACACATATATATCAAATCATGCCAATCAAATCATATATCTTAATCATATCCCAATGCTAATTTTTAGATATAAGCATATATCTGTCTCTAAATTCTTTCTTTAATGAAAATTAATTATCAAATGAACAAAATATTATTGAGGAGATGATGTTAGGATAAGCTTCGTGGTTGTACTACCTGGTTCTGAGTCACTGGAGATTTGGGAAGGTTAATTCATAACTCTTTGCCTTAGTTTCTGCATCTTTATATAGTGGAGATGATGATCAAATTTATCACTTTGTTGTGAGAATTGCCAGAAGTAATGCATGTTAGGAAATTAGTACAAGGCCTACCACATAATAAGCATTCACTAAACCATTTTTAATAATTAAAACCTTGGTATGCTGAAATTTTTTTATTCAAAATATGCATTAATAGTAAGTCAAAAGATAGAACAATCAAGTATTGCAAAATTTATGCATATCATTATATTCATAAAGGCGAATGACATTTAGGACCAAACGTTCGAAATTTCTTAAAGAGAAAATAATTTTCTCTTGTTAAATTTATGTTTTACAATTCTGTGAATTCTAATTATTTACATATTTCAAATAATATATTTTCAAAAGTATGAATATCTTGGTTGTTTCTCATCATAATCTTAATTTCACTCTGTATTTTTAATTAATAAGACATCTCCTCACTGAAAATTAAGCTGATCATCTACTTTTTAGGATTTAAATAAAAAAAGTAATTCTCTAACAAATTTGTAGTTTTTCTTGCCTCTTTAGTTTAACCTTGGGTTTTCGCCAAGACATGTACACTAGAGTCTTGTTATGATACTGCCATATGATTAATATGGTGGGATTAGATGAGACTGTGTTATGATCCAGTCTTTCGGCTAATACCCTAGTGTATTTTGGCCGAATCCTACACAATTTCATAATTTGTCCTCTTCTCATTAGTTTATTATCCATTAAAGACATAATCTTCAATTGATTTTTTTATGAAAAAGAAGAAATAAAATGCTTAGAGCTCCTAATAATATTTTCTATAAAACCTTGTGTTTTATGGAAACGTTGGTATGTTAAGAATAACTAACTTCAAATTTTTGCCACAGTCTAATGCTCAGTTATAAGTTTTGGTTGGATGATCTCACACATTTTTGCCACAGTCTAATACTCAGTTATAATACGTATTGGTTGAATGACCCCAGTCTATGTGCTTTTAAATGTTTGCTTAGTTGCCTACCCCAAAATGTGAAGGGCCTGGTTCTGCCTCAGGCTACTCACCAAGATGCTGACAGCTTGAGTGAACCAGTGGCTCCCTCGGGGTACATCTAGCAATCTTCTGTAATGATTATAGCCCAAACCCTGTGGGAAAGTTATATTCTGTCATATGGGGTCTCTAGGAGTTGAAATCCACTCACAGGTCCCGAAATTGCGTCACATGATTTTACTCAGAAGACCCTTGAAGGCACTCTGGAGTAAACAGTAACGCTGCTCATTTCGAAGTTGAGCGTTTAAGACCCACCAGTAGCTCCCATAAAGTTTTACAGTTTGGGCAAAGATGGAGGCTTGCTATGAGTCACGATTGACTTGATATAGCCATGGTGACTTTTCCCTAAAGCCCGTTTGGTAAGTACCACCAGCTTCCCACTTGATTGCTGCTGTACCAGTGACATTGTTGCAACTCAGGATCTGTTGGGTTCCGATTGCTTGAGGGTCGTTTAAATGATCCTTGATGAGAATATTTCTTTATTGAAAAAATATTAAAATGTGTAAACCACTCAGAATGCACGACACACTTAAGAAAAAGGAACTAAATGCTTTTTGTTCAAGGTTAGAGGCATTATTTAAAAAAAAAAAACCTCTTTCTTTCCCTATATATATGTGTGTATCTGTAAGTATGTGTGTGTGAATTACTGTTAGCATCACACACAAGAACAGTTTGGGCAGATTCCTGAACATAATATAGAACAGAAATGTTTTGTAAAAAGCTCTCAGCAGGACTATCATTTGATGCACACATGCGTTGTCCAGCTCTAACATTGGAATGTTCTGTTGTTATTTTATAGTGCTAATCTGTCATTGTCCCTTTGTAATGCAGTGTGTTGTACTCTTGGATGATAAACAGAAAATTAATAAATTTGAACACAATTTTGCCAGGATTGAATAACTAAAGATTAACATGAAGGCATAAACGTTTTAGTGAAACCAACAAAATCTATAAGGTTATATTATAGCAAACAAAGCTCTCTACCATACATATTCTAATCGGCAAAATATTTCATTTTTGCCTTATGTTTACCTTTCAGATGACATAGGTTTGAGAAGTGAACTATATGTGTTCACTGATCATTTCTGGACATTTTACTGTAACTTAATCTTAGCAGGTGGTTGTCTTCATCTTGTTATGCCTTCATTCATTCATTTCCTACACTAATGCACAATGATAACTAATGTGTTTCCTGTTTTAGGGATATCAGAGACCAAGCCACTACATTGCAACCCAAGGTAAAATATTGCTATTTTAAAATGTTCTGAAACTAAGAAACTTGCTTAGTCAAAGGATTCATATGTGTTTGAGTTTGAAGTCCCTTGGTTTTGGGGGAGGGGGGGCTTGTGCTTTGTTTTGGGTTTTTTTTCATTTGTTTTATATTTTTATCTGAAACGCCTGAAAAAGGAAATAAGCTTTTAGTATAGCATTGCTCTTAATTCTGTTATGAGATAATTCTTTTTGTCTGCATAAAGATTTCCGCTTTTTTTCCTCTTTGTATGTAAATGAAAAGCCTTTGACAGTTGTGGGAACTGTTCCTCTGGTATCTGGATGTCTCAGCGCCTTCGCCAGCTGGTCAGAGGAATCCCTTATTTCTGATGAAAGGCAGAAAAGATCTCTCCTGTGTAAATTGCCTGCATCTTTGCAGTATAGTTTGACAGCCCAGAATGTAATAGCATCTACCCAAGACCAATATTATTATAATGAGATGTTGTGCTGTCTTCCAGCAGTTTTTTTGACAAGCCAAGATGAGACAAAGCAAAGGGCTTGAGGGGACTTGGTCAAGTTCATTCTTCACGGAAAATTAAGAGAAAGTAGGGACATCTTGGTATAGTGGCACAATGGAAAACAAAAATATGCAAACAGCAAAACAGAACTAAACTAAACAAAAAAACCTCTGTATTTCATTGAACTGATCACTCTCCATCTAAAGAAAACTTACATTATCTATTAATAGGAAAGTAAAGTAAAATGTAAGCTTCAATTGCTCTTTTGACTGAAGTTATTATATATACTTTTCACATACCTTTAGAATAATTGAGTCAATTGTGTGTTCTTTTTAAATTTAGAGAGGTTACTGTATAGCAAACCATGTTCTAGTATTAAGGTGCTGTATCTACCCCAGTTACATCCGTTCACAGTTTGGAAATGGTGAGATAAGAATGCGTCCTTATCTGCTGGAGTGCTTAAAAATTTCATGGAAAACCAATGGAATAATGAAAAGATAATGGAATTTTTGCACACACTGTCTGTATTCCTTAAACATAAGGATCCTTCTTAATTAAACCCTCCCTGTGCACTGCCTATAACTGATGTGCATTTATTTAACTGGGAATATATGCCCTTTAGGTGGCAATGACATTAAGAGTTCCCTTTTCATTATGTTTGAAGAAACATTCAAGTGACTTACTGGTACATGGGTATATTCTAGCAACTGGCAATATCTCCTAAATTGGGAAGTAGGGAAGGGGAAAAAAAGTCAAAATCTTGTATAGGCTCTCGATTTCTATAAGTACTGAGAATTTATATATAAAATTAATTTATAAGAACTTGGAGTGATATCCAATGACATTTAAGTCTCTTTTTGGTTTATTTAGCCTTTTATTTATATAAGTCTCTTCCTAACTACCAACTTGCTCTCATAACATGATGTTCAAATCCGTTCATTCATAGGCCCAGTTCATGAGACAGTATATGATTTCTGGAGAATGATTTGGCAAGAACAGTCTGCCTGTATTGTGATGGTTACAAATTTAGTTGAAGTTGGCCGGGTAAGGAAACAAGACGATTTTGCTTATGTTGTTCTAAATATGAGAATTAGTTGAATAGCAAAATAGGATATCATTCCATTGTAAACAAAATTAATACAAAGCTTACAGGCAAAGTATAATATTTTGAATGAGTACTTCTAAGTATACCCTCAGTGTCCTTAACATTGTTTGACTTTTTATTGCATGGTAATATACACTTTATTTTCGATTAAAATCTAATTACACTATATGGCTTTTAAAGACTAGCAAAGTTATTTTTATTTACTTTGTAACCTATTAGTTTATCAGATTTACATAATTTAAGTGTGAATCTGTTCATTTTAATTGTGATCTGAATAGTCATGACGGAAATGAAGTTATGTGCTGCTTAAAGCATATGAGCTGTGTGGCTCGTCTCTTGACTGTCTTTGTCATTTAGGTGAAGTGCTACAAGTACTGGCCTGATGATTCTGAAGTTTATGGGGACTTCAAAGTCACGTGTGTGGAAATGGAACCACTTGCTGAATATGTCGTTAGGACATTCACCCTGGAAAGGGTAAGTTATCTTCAAACTCTGTTTTTCAAAGGTGCGTCCATAAATGGTTTTATCTTTTTTAAATATCTGCCAAGCTTTCTTGTGATATATAAAACTCACTCATTCATTCTACAAATACATTTGAGAGCATATCAGCTACCATTTATCAGCTATGAGCACATTAACAAGGTCCCCTGTGCACAGGGAACCAATAAAACTATAAAGAGGAGAAACGCAGAAAAGACCTGTGATCATGGTAATAACACTCACAGGATGTAACCCACACCGCTGAATGGTTTGCATAGAAACTTGAGTGGATATGTGTTTTTCTATGTATAGTCTCAACAGCTATAAAATAAATGATTAAAAATAAAAAAGATGGGAAGATGGATAAGCAAGCAAACATGATTAATTATAAGTGTGATGGATGACAATGTTAGAAGTGGAAGTAAGGAATATTGTTGAAGTGGGGTTAAGGATCGTTTATAGCTACAATCAGAGAAGGGCTCACTTAGAAAGTAACAGGGGAATAAATTTGTGAGAGAAACTAGGGAATCTGAATTATGTTCGGGTGAGGAATTTTTCCAGGAGAGGAAGAGTCCATTTATGGGTATGTACAAGCATACCTACACCTGTGATAATAAGAAACACCACGAGCCCAGTGATGAGTGTTGAGAAGGAGGAGTGAAGGGGGCAGAGAAGTAGCGTCCTGTGGCCACTAGGATGACTTTCATTTGTGTTCAAAGCGAGTTGGGCTGTCAGTGGAGATTTTGACCTGACTGTTGGCTTTAACAGGGTTACTGAAGTTCTATGTAAGACAAACTAAAGCAGGGTGGGCTGTGTGAGACTCAAGTGAGTCATGGAAGCCCTGAAACAAATGGTTGAGGAACAGTTCAGTAAATCTGGCCACAGAAAAATGTAAAAGTTTCTGTATTTAAAAAAATATTAACAGGGACACACACACTCAAAAAAAAACGGGATTATTAATATATTTAATTTGTAGTATTAGTACAAATAGATCATAGAATCTCCAAGGAAATGCAATTGCTTTTATAAATGCTTAACCTCCTGTACTGAGGAGGCAATATTATGAAGAACGTATAAAAAGAAGGCTATCTTCATGTGCCATTGAATCAGCTCCTACCCATAGCAGCCCTGTGCTCAGCAGAATGACACTCCTGCGTCACCCTCACAACTGTTCTTGTGCCTGAGCCCATTGTCGCCACTGTGCCAGTCCAGCTCCTTGAGGGCCTTTCTCTTCGTAGATGCCCCCCCACTTTACCAAGCATAGTGTCATTCGCCAGGGACTCATCTCTCCTGACAATATGTCCAAATTATGTAATACAAAGTCTTGTATTCCTTGCCTCTAAAGAACACTCTGACTGTACATCTTCCAAGACAGACCAGTTTATCCTTTTAGTAGTCCATGGTGCTTTGGGTACTTTGAATATTCCTCTCCAGCACCACAATTCAAATGCATCTATTTTTTCTTTGGTCTTCCTTATTCAATATCCAACTTTCTCACATGCAAATGCATAGTGATGGATAGTTAAATTATAGTAATGACTAGAACCAGCAGTCTTTATAAAGTGTATTTTAAAATGACAAAGATGATTCTTGAAAAATCTTTAAGGGAAATATTAAAGGAAAAGTTTGAAATAGAACAGCATAATTGCAGTTACCTCAACCTATATAAAATTTTTTAGATAAATCCAGTAGAAAAAAATACATAGTATGAGAGAAGATTTCCAAAAGAGAACTATCAAGCCTCATTTAATAGATAACTAGATTCCATCATTATATAGAATATTAAATACTTAAAAGTATTGTTTTAAAAAAATCAATCATGCTTTTCACAAAGGAAAATCTAATATATTACAACATGTTGAGATGTTTTCACAAAGCAACAACAAATCATTAAACAACATCCCCACAAATTAGCTTCTTGAAAATTTCAAATAATAGTTAATGAGTGACTGCCTCAACAGTAAAGGTAAGTAGTTTTATATAAAAATTTACCTGAAATTCTCCTTTAAGAAAACTTTATACATATAAATTACATCTATGTAGAAAGCCTGTCTAAAATCAAATGTAAAAAACAAATCATACAAATTAGAAACTTGGAGAATCCATTTAAAACAAAACATGATAAAATAAATATATAATTCGTCAAAAAAGAGTAACTATAAACCACTGTCACTTCTAAAAGAGGTACAAATATATATATAGGATATTACAAAAATCAAAAGAGCTACACCTACAGTTCCTGTGTAAAACCCAAAACCCACTGCCTTCCGGTTGAACTCCGGGGACCCTGTGTAAGATTTCCGAGGCTTGAATTCTCAGGGAAGGAGACAGTCTCAACCTTTGCCAGTGTTGGAGAATGGAAGTCACGCAAATAACACGCATGTTAGGTGTTTGTTTGTTTTCTCTGTGTAACTTCTAGCATGTTAATTTTTTAATACATTCTATGTGTTATATACATGAGATGCCTTATTATGAAAACTATGGTACACATGGTATTAGATAATTGTAAAAGTATTATCTGTGAACTGAAAGAAATTGTCTACAGACAATGATTTTCTAGCAAAGAATAATTCTCACATTTTGATCAATGAAGAGTGATAATTAGAGCATGCCAAAGAATAGGGGCACTTGATAATAGTTGCTATCAAGATAAAGGTTTAGTGCAATCGTAATGAGAACATGGTTGGCTTTTCATTTTTTATTCACTTTTGTCATTTGGAGCTGGATCTAGGTGGTTTTAAAATGTAGGGTTAGGGTTTGCTTGTGTTCTTTCTTTTCTGTTGTGAAGCTGTCTGCTCCTGTAAACGAGGTTCAGTTTTGGAAACCCACAGGGGAGTTCTACCTGGTCCTAAAGGGTTGCTGAGTCAGAATCACTTGATGGCCGTGATGTTGTTGTAGTAGTAGACTTGAAAGCTATTCAGGAATACTTCACTTAAAATGCTAGAGAAATATGAACTGTCCAATATTAAAATGCATTAAACAAACTCTGATAATAATATCAATTTAGAAAAGGTAAAGTACTTGTCTAAAATTGCCTTAGGACAGTTTATAGTCTTTCTCACTGGGATGATGTATTAAGTAGCAAAGAAGGTGATTTTTCCTTCTCTTGCCCTCCAGGTGATATGATGACTAAGACAAGTATTGGTTGAGCCCTGGTGTACACCACGTACTGAGCAGGAACTTAAACATAAGCATAACTATGAGACATGATTTTGGAGATGTTAATCGTATAGTGATAACATAAAGATAAGCTGTCATTTAAGGTTTTATTTATTTCATTTAACTTTTCTACCTTTCCTAATTGAGCAAAGAAGATAGAGACCGCCTGGACACCCCAAAGTAGAGTGCAAATTATATGATTATATATTTTTTCTACAAATGTGTATTTTTCTGTAGCTCTTCAGCTCCGCATCCAAGCTATGCTCCCACAGCCTACAGGATTCTTTTAACAAAGGGAAAGGAAATAGTTTGAAATGTACATTTAAAATGTTCCCTTAATTAACCCAATAGGAGAGGGGCACAATGGATGCTTCATTTTCTTTCATTTCGTGTTTTTGTTGCTATAAATAACATGCTTTGTGCTGTGTTATTTCCCAGCGCTAAGAAAAATAGTTTGCCCAAAGAACAGTTTAGCTGTTTATTCTCACAAACCAATCTAGAGTAGCACTGTCCTGGAAAATCTCGACATGCTATGCTTCAAAACCATTTTCAACATGGATAAGCAAGGCATTAAAATCTCTTTGTGAGATGAGAAACCAGAAAGTTGCTTTTATACACCACTTGAGAACTCAGTGCACTGGGTCAATAAGGCAGCAGTTTAGCTTCCCCATTTTCTCCTTTTCCCCTAATAATTGTATATGTTGTCATGAGCAGTAAAGATCATACTGTCAATGTAAATAAATTTTAGCCAGACTGTAAGAACTGAGCAAGACTTTTAACTCTCATCCTTTGGCAATTGTGTGATAAGAAAGGGAAGCTCTCAAGCCATGTTCGACCAGCAGTCTTTCTCAGGGAAAAGGAAAAAAACAAAAACAAGCACGATTTTGATCTTGGGTGATTTTTTTTTTTTTTTTGGCAGGAGGGGGAAGGGGGTTGTTATCAATCAGATCTAGTACTTATGGTTCTGTTGAATGCCTTTTTTTAACACTTCTGGAAATATGTCTTTCCATCTCTGCACAGAGGGGATACAATGAAATCCGTGAGGTTAAGCAGTTCCATTTCACTGGCTGGCCCGACCATGGAGTCCCATACCACGCTACAGGGCTTCTCTCCTTTATCCGGCGAGTCAAGCTGTCCAACCCTCCCAGTGCAGGCCCCATTGTCGTGCATTGCAGGTGAGTGAGTGGGGATGCCCAGGGAGTCAGCTGTTCTCAGAGCAGGCAGTTCTTAGAGAATATGAGGATCAGACATTTAAACACAAACTACTGTGGGCCTACAAAGTTCTAGCTTGCATATATTATAGATGAGGTAAAAATAGCAATCATAAAAGTCAGTTGTAAATAGGATGTAAAATAGAAACTTAAAAAATAAAGAACGTTCGTCCTAATGTGTATGATGCTATACTATATTTGTGAGTGCAGAGACTATGATGCTATACTATATTTGTGAGTGCAGAGACTGTGATGCTATACTATATTTGTGAGTGCAGAGACTATGATGCTATACTATATTTGTGAGTGCAGAGACTATGATGCTATACTATATTTGTGAGTGCAGAGACTATGACGCTATACTATATTTGTGAGTGCAGAGACTATGACGCTATACTATATTTGTGAGTGCAGAGA